TGTTTGCTTACACCTATATTGACATATTCATTAAATTTCATCTGGCAACTTAATTTGATCTCTTTTTTTTTGCTGTGATAACAAATTTATCTCATAACAAGTATGTTGTCTCGTTTTTCAACATACATATATGCATTGCATCAGATATGATTTTACGTATCTTCATTGTATGGGCCGACATTATATATGTAAACTGTTTAATGAACTGTAAAGTATATATTAAATTCAAGAAATATTCAACTAAATCATTGAAGTATACTAATAATTTCTTTTGATATCTAATTATCGGATAGAGGAAGTTAACAACTGAATTATGAATTTATTCAAGAAAGCGAATTACTTGTAAATTATGAATTCGAAGAGATTATTTGAGATAGTTTGAATGGTAGCTAATTTTGCTGAAAGAAGTGAGAGGAAACTGGTTTCATATGATCAGCCTTCTGTTGTTGGTCTTGCTTTTACACAAAGTTTAGAATTAGAAGTTAGCCTCACATTAGTGTAATTGTTAAGTTGGTAATATAATTCTTTTTGTCCATCAAAAAAGCTTTTAAATTCATCAAATTATATTCAGTAAATCCTTAGATATCTTAAAGTGGATTATATATTTTCAACAACTTGTTACAAATGATCATGTTCAATTTCTTTTGTAATAAAGTAGTAGAGAAATTTGAATAGATATCGATAACATTGTGAGTTTCCCGAAAACTGACAGATCAGTTCGATCCAAAGACAGATAATCGATTGAAGTTTTAAATCAGTGATTGACTGACTATGTTCACTAGATAAAAACTCACTGAGCCTGATCAACGAGTTTATGTAGAGATTCTTAATGCCTCCTAAAACAAACGTATTAATCTCACACTGCCATAACATAAGAACTTTTCAGCTATTGAGTGGTTTACTTAGACATTAAGTCATTTGTGAATCGCGTACAGTATTTTGAAAGTTTCATCGAAGCAATGCGGCGAGAAAGAAAATAAGATTTTAAAACCTTAGAGAGAATGTGTTATCTAGGAGGGAAATCTAAGAATTCAAATATCCTCGGTTATTCATTGGTCAAATGATATAAAGAGAAACCTATGAACGGTTAGCAAACATTCGTCATCACAGTCTGTAAATAGTTTATTACTACTTGTCTAATTCAGAGTTTTTACTACAGACATCAAAACAAACTTCAGATGGAAGTGAAGTATTCGGATTTCTCCACGTTTGACCAGTAGCTTGTTCTGTTAACCTCGATCTTGATTGGTCGCTGTTGACCTGAAACCTGTCTTGATTGCGTCCCCCTTCTGATCTGCTTCTTGATCGTGTGTCACAGACAGTTATGGACATGCATTCAATTGGAACAAAGTGGAAATACTCGATAGGAGGAGCGCAAAGAACACTAGAGAATTTTTAGAAGCTTGGCATTCAGGTCAATCAGCTATCTACAAACATATCGACATTGACCCAAATTATCAACCAATCAGAAAAATCATAGGCGACATAGGATCAAGAAACAGATCAAAAGGGGGATACAATCAAAACAAAGGTGCAAACAACAACAGGTTTAAGGACAAGAGCAATCAGGTTAACAGAACAAGCTACTGGTCAAACGTGGAGAAATCCGAATACTTCCATCTGAAGTTTGTTTTGGTGTTATTCAGAAGAACAATAAAAGCTCCACAACCAAAACATCCAGCTCAGAGAATGAAACACCACCAAAACTATTGTGGTGGGTTATGAATAATTAGGTTTCGAATTTTATGCCTCCCCATTTTCTCCTAAATGGGATGTCGTCCTGAAATTTTCATTTTACTTATCGTGCTCACTTATGAGTAGTCAAATTTCTAAATCGAAATATATTGCCGTGTTCTACATTGCTCAGTCGATTCATACATAATATAAACCAATAATATTTCTGCTTCTTCTAACGCAATGTTACAGATATATGAATGGAAATTGAGGTCGTCAACATTGATCCGTATCAATAAAGGTCACAATTTTTAAATATGGTCGATTAGGTAGTAAAATATCAGTCAGAAATCTTTTTGATTTTTCTTCCATTGTTTTTTGTCAAGTACACACACAGACACATCACAACGAATAAGAAGTTCCTGTGCGATGATTCATGGTCATGCCAAAAAGATAATGTAAACTTTGGAAATAGTTATTCAAGAGTTTTCCAATGTCCTTGTAACTCGGTGGTTGGTTCGCTTTCTTTGCTCTTGACAAGTCATTCTGATTAACTATATTTTCCGGAGTTTCCTTGTATTATATGGTTTTCTTTTCTTGCAGCTTTTTATTCTCATTATTAGGTCTTTCATGAATTTACGTTTGTCAGCTTCAATGCTCCACTTCATTTGCTTGTTTACTTCTGTGTATTCAGCTTGTGCCTGACATTGTCTGATCGTGTTCGGCTGTTATTTATTGTTGCCTTCCTTTCTTGAATCTTATCCAGAGAATCAATAGCGATCCACTTCGAATGACGATGCTTCATGTGACCCAAAACCTCATGATTTACGAAGTACTTTTCTTTGAATATTAAACTAATAAATTTTGAAAATCATATTTGCACTACTACTTTTAGTCCATGATTAAATGTAGATTTTATTCCCGGACAATATTAGGGTGTCTTTTTACTATTTTTCTAATGATAAAATATTTCGCATGTAGTTAGTAATGGAATCAAAGACGTTAGTTTGTCTGTTTGAAACTAGTCAACTGAATGAATTCGCATTACAAGTGTTGGTGTTCATTCTGAGACTTGAACAACAGTCCTTCGTTTCGAACACCTAACACGTTGTGACAACGTTATATCAAGGCAGGTTCGGTTGGTGGCAACAGAAACTTGAATAGAAACCGTAGGGAAATATGAACCATAAGTATTAAATTTTTCATGTTCATTTAATAGCATCTACAATTTTTTGACTGTTAGGCTTTACTCATGCTTTGTGGTATGAAGTATGCTAATTTAAGTGAGTGATTATATTGCATATGTGTTATGCTGTTTATAGGCGATTGATTGACCGTTTTCAAGAGATAAATGAATAAACGATTACGGATGATTGTAGAACAACCGATTGAATGGAACTCAGAACTCTACATCAACTTCATTGATTGACTACGAGAAGGCATTATATGGTGTGGACAGGAAAACACTATGGAGGCTTCTTCGACACTACGGCGTGCCTGGTGATCGACTGGATTATGAAGAAGTCAACATCTGGAGTTAGGCACTGTATACAGTAGACAGCCAGGATGCAGCTGGACTTCGCTGACGATCTGATTTTCCTATCGCATACGCAACAGTAAATGCGAGAAGACGACCAGTGTAGCAGCAGCCTCAGCAGCAATAGGTATCAGCATACATAAAAGGAAAAGCAAGACTCTCTAGCACAACAGAACATGCGCCAACCAAATCACACTTGATGGGGATGCCTTGGAGGACGTTAAAACCTTTACACATCTAGGCAGCATCATCGACGAGCAACGTGAATCTGGTGTAGATGTGATTGGGCGGATCGGCAAGCCAAGAGCAGCTATTCTACAATAGAACAACTATCAATCTACATCAAAGTCACAATTTTCAATACATACATCATGACAGTTTTACTGTATGAGGCGGAAACTTGGAGAACTACCAAAGCTATCAGCCAGAAGATAAAAGTATTTATCAACAGTTGTCTACTCACAATACTTCGGATCCGTTGGTCAGACACCATCAGCAACAACCTACTGTGGGAAAGAACAAACCAGATTCCAGTGGAGGAAGAAGCGCTGGAAGTGAATACAACACACAGTGAGGGCGGCACCCGACTGCATCACAAGACAAGCCCTTAGTTAGAACTGTCAAGGACGAAGGAACACATTAACCAGAGAAATGGAGACAGACATGAGAAGAGTGAGCATAAATTGGACAGAACTGGAAAAGGTTCAGAACAGAGTATATTGGAGAATACAGGTCGGTGGGCTATGCTCCATTTGGAGTAACAGGTGTAAGTAAGTAAGTATAACAAAGTAAGAGGCTAGGACATGGTAAAAACATTAATTAATGATAATTTATGGATTCAGGAAATAGAATTAAAGAACTAGTATAGGAATTGAACTTTATCAATGTAACGGTCTTTCGTCCAATTAGCTATCTAAAGGAAAATTATAGTGTCTCTATTCATTTTCAGCACAACTAATTTACTTTTCTTCTGCTGTATGTTACTGATAAAGTGAATGAATATGCTAAAAAAATTAAGCAATGAGAGATAATAGTAGCAACATTTAGTGCCTAAATTAATGGGCAGAAAATTATCTTGAATAATAATAATTGACAAATAATTCATGACTTTATTCAGATCTTCATTACATAACGATTTACATGCATTGACCATAGAAGATTAGGATGTGAACTGACCAGCTCTTTTGCTTTAGTTCTATATTATTCGATCAATTGAATCATGAGTTTCATGATGCAATCGTTCAAATGATCATGATTAACTGAAGTAGATAGGGAAATGTAAAAGTCAGTCAGCTACAGTCAGTTACAACGTGGAACTTCGCACGTGCGTAGATAAGTTTAGGTTGCCACACCACATTAGCACAGAAACGCAAGTGTCAGTTCAAATCCCATAGTGGTAGAGATAGCAGAAGTAGTAGCGGTAATGGAGAAGATCAGGGTTCGAAGAATTTATTTAGGAAGTTCAATTCAGTGAAATAAATTTAAAGAGACAGGGAAATGTAAAAAGACCTTCTTTGTTGTTTAGTTCAAAATTTTAGTCTATTATCACTTTAGTATTTAAGAGGTTCGGTATAAAATTTTGCAACAAAGTATAAACGAAATGCGAGTAATGATACCGAAGATAAAATGAACTCAGCATAAATAACAGTCACCGTAAAAGTTAATGAATCTCAAAAAAAGGTAAATATGATTATTTTACTACTGATATATATTTCTTAATTAAATAGACTATGTTAGTATGCCAACTAAAAGTAAATTTTTAGTTAAGGCATTCACCTGTAGACAAACTGATCAGTGAAACAATTTCATGTAAAATTAATAACATTAGTCACTGATGTAAAACAGGTGGACATCAACCTAATTTAAAATTAGCTTTTGATTTTGAAAACGTGTAAGCAATATTTCAGATAAGAAATGGCTAAAATTATATGAATCATGGAAATGTAATTAAATTAGAACATGGAATGTATACAATGTATTTTCATGTGTGTATCGTGTTTGCCATATTAAACTTGTCCATTGGTATTCAGATCCAAAAGGCCATTGAGATATGGAGATAAAAACGACAAGTGTTTAACCAATTTATGAACACAAGTGTTCATTAAATCTGGTAATATATTCAAAACGCATAAAAAATTCATGAAATATTCTATTGTAAGAAAGACTATACAAAACCTTAAGAGTTTTATTTACAGTCAGGAAGGTTTAGGTAACATGATGTTAGCTTTTATTATTTTTGAAGTAAAATGCATAAATCGGAATCAGAGTAATTTTTACAGTGTTAGGAATTAGAAACTGGATTGGGAATAGTCACATTCTTTATCGAGAGTGCATGAAGTTGCAAGAATGACCATTACGACATCCTCCTTGTTGGAAGAACCTACATAGTTGACCATTATTCCTAGGATGCGAGTTCGCGCGAGGATAGGCAGGTGCTCGAACAGATGCAGGAGGACCATTATAGGGAGGCATTGGGTTAGGCATTAGGTGAGGTAATGTAGGATTCATTGATTGAAAGGAAGGCCTATTGGACATTCGATTTGGAGGTCCATAACCAGAAGAATTGGGAGGACATAACCTTGGTCCTTGAGGCGGTGGTGTGAAATCAGACCTTGGAACAGGAACTGGCATACGCGAAGGACCATGGAACGGAGGACGGAAAGCCGGGCGTGGGACAGGAGGATCAACTGGACAGTCAGGATACTGAAGAGGTGGCCTTGGTGGGCATGGATTACGAAGCTGAAAAATGCCTCGTGCAACGAGTTGATCACGTAATGGTTCAAGCAAATCGCGAATGCGCTCAGCACTCAAGTCATGAACATTGATGTCCGGATAATTCTGCTCCAAGACTTCCCACAATTCTCTTTGTAGCATTTGATCAATTGGAGAATGAGCGCCAATCCCATGTATTGATTCAGAATTAGGACTGGTTACGCCCATTTTCATGTCACCAGAAACAGGCATGAAAGCATTTGGTTGTAAAGGGAGGTCAGAACAAGATGTCGTATTTAGGGCAGGACTCATTTGAGGTGGCATCTTTTGAACAAGATCAGATGGAGAACTAGTGAGATTGGCTGCTAGAGACTTGACTAGATTAGCAACCTCAGGATTTAATGACATCTGTAAAAAAAATTCGAGAGATTTTAAGACAGACACATGAAGATATTACTTAAGAAAATTTAGAAAATATGAATCTTTTAGTGGAATAGCTATATTAGTTTAGATTTATACACTTATTCTGAATAAGGATAACTTAATTATCAAGTTAGAATTTGAGAAAAATTCAATAAATGTCTTTTAAAAGTTGCTTTTTTAATCCAATCAGGTCAGTAAACATGGAACACTGACTAATGGTAAGTAAGCTTAAAAATTATGAACTATAACTGTTAACGCAATGTTCTAATGAAGATTATTAATTTCGTTCCAGTTACAAAATCCAAGATACGAAATGAACATTAGAAAACATGTCTTCTAATTTCTAGTTTGTATTCGTGGTTGGAATAATGTGTAAAAACCTTTTTTATAACGTGTAATGACGAATATTCTAATTGAAATCATTTAACGGAGTCCTCGATAAAATTATAAATCAAAGTGTCTAAAAGCGTAAATGTGAAAAATTTGAAGTAGAAGATTACTGAGATTAAACTCACTTGTGGATTTCCCATGGCATCTTTCATAACTAATAGCTTCTCAGAACTGACTTCACAGTTTTTATCGGTTGACTCATAAGCAGTAAGCTGAAAAAAATACAGATGATTCGATTTAGTTTATTAAGCACGGATACAAGTTTAACAAGATAACAATCAACCTAGAAGTTAACGTACACGGCTTTAACTTTGGCTTGAAGAGAATTATTGATATCTTAGGAATACACAGATATATACCACACAAAAGGAAACAAAATGTCGATCCCCAAAAAGGTAAACCAAAGTGAAACTAATCCTAGTGTGATACTAGTAAGATTGTGAAAATAAATAACCAGTCATTTAAAGTGAATTTTAAACCAGCAAATGTTTAATCAGATGGAAGCAGAGTAATCCAGGATATGGTTTTTGGTTTACTTAAGACTTGTCAGAAGGATATACATGCAACAGTGACGATCTCGTCGGGGCTCGAGCCCGGTATCAGTGACTTATCCACTGATGTACTGACTTCAAGTAGTCACTACCTTATTTAACGAGTATGATATTCCTATCATTAATGAACAAGTTTTAGTTATTTTATTGATAATTTTCAGGGCTAAACTTTAATAGCAGAGGTACACCCTATGAGGATTGCAACAATGAAGTCATTAGGTTGTTTAAAAAAAAGAGAAGCATTGTAGCAAACAGGATGGTGTTTAAAACAAAAGGTACTTCGTTCAAGTTTCTAGGTGAACAACTGTTAAATGCCGAGACATAACTAACGAGTTTTAAACAGAACGAATCGTATTTCCTAAAGTCCAATGCTAGCCGCAACCTATCTACTCAATAAAACGTGATAGAAAGGAATGAGGCATTCCGAGAAGAGTGTATAGACATAATGTCAAAAGTTTGTCAAAATCTAGTCTTGTATAACAACAAACATTTAATCCTACACATGAGTACAGAAACTTTTAATCTAATCAGATATCTTATGAGATATATATTAGACATTCAAAGTTGGTTTAAAAGTTAGTTTCAACAAGTTACTAAGATTTAGTTTATTGTATTAATATAAAAGTTCTTTTTGAGAAAATAGTCTGCAAAGCATTACGCACAGCTTTGTTCTGTCTTTTTCGTAAACATGATATTAAAACAAGAACAGTTTCTTTCACGTATCAAGCAAACAAAAATTCACTGGCATGCTATTTGATAAGTTAAGTGCGGAAATTGCTTATTATCAAAAATAGCTGTGAGGAATGGCAACGCAAGTCGAGGGAAACTGTTTATGATTAGTTGCAAGTTCCTTTCATTATCCATGATACATATGTTAATTCAGTCAATTTTTGGATCTATGTTTAAACATTTTGAGTGAATTTGTGAAAATGATAGAGAGGATGGCCATCTAATACGGAAGTCATATCTTTCGAAATTTGATAACCGATTCCAACAAACATTATCAGCCAGATTAGAAAGAAAGCATTAGTAATAAAACTTTGTGTTTGTGAAGTATTATCCACCAGTGTTAGCGATTCAGGTTTTATGACTTAAACCAAAAAAAAGACTAACAGATGACAATCCAGACAAAGTAAACTGACGATTCCTAACCGACTAATGTATTTACCTATCAGCTTCACGAATAGTAATACATCGTTTCAATTAAGTGAATGTTTGTGTGATTGAGTGGTTATGATATTCCGTCGGTGAGTCAGTCTGCCAGTTAAAACGTGGAAATTCGTAGGTACGCACATCACATTAGCACAGAGACAGCATTGTCAACTCAAATCTTATGGTGGTAGAGGAAGAATTATTAGCAGTAATCAGAGATTAGGGTTCGAAGATACTATTCAGGAAGTATAATCATTGATTTAAATCTTGCACTTTCGAACTTTATTTTTTTAAATATTTATTTACTGCTTTGTATTGCAGTTAGCTGATTCAGCACTTGTACAGACTTTGTTAGTTTTTATTTTTCACTTATTCTTGTTTTTACATCAAAATATATTCATACGCGAACTTAAATTGCGTTTCTATTAGGTAATTCAAAACTGTTTATTGAGATTGATTTAGAATAGGAAATAGAATCTTAAGAATTACCAATCGTTATCATGTTAACCAGTCAATCATTCATTTGGTGCATAGTTTTGGTATAACAGATTGCAACTGATTTAAAGGTAACCCTATTTCAGTAAATTATCACATTTTTAGTGATTAACTGCCTTTTCGTCGGTCAAAAACTTGCTTTTAAGGCAAAAGATCTGACGGTATAATACTAGACTGAAATCCGAGTATCGACGACCGTTTGATACAACACCGAAGACGATATTGCCTTTTTCACATAATAAGTGACAATGCTAGAACAAACCCACGCAACACAATAAGTTGTTTGAACTGTTTTTTAATTAAATAAAGACGTTACATTGTTATGCAAAGGGTATGAGTATCGTTGTGATCAACAGCTAAATAGTTTGGGCTCGATTACCTATGAACTACATAAAACACGAATGCTTGTTAACAATAAAGTTTTTAAAAAAATTGAATACAAACTAACAGCCGAACAGTCTTCTGGGACATTTATACAGTGCAGTTTAGAATAAATAGACAATCAAGTAATTTTCCAGACAGTCAAAATTTACTGGTTGATTAGTTACTCAAAACATAATCTGTCCAGGGATTTGCATCCAGAAAGTGTCTTCTATTAATCTTTGCGTCTTATGACACTCGATTTGCAACAGTATATGTGGGTTAGTATTACTAGGAAACTGGAGTATTTGATAAATTGCACTTTCCTTGATCACGCTTTTTCGCTATCAGAATAAAGTGGCAATCACTGGACTTAAAAACTGGAATTAACATGTTCATGATATGTGGGAAATTTCGGAAAGAAAACTGGCTTTGAAACATATTTGCTTTTGATATTGCTATTGCCAGGGAAGATCTCAATGCTTTCTCAATTGTTTGCGAAATCGAGAGAATTAAAAGAAGATGACAGCCGCTTAGGAGTGGGTAAGTGGATACGGAGGGTCTATCTAAAGAAATTGAAAACCTCTGACATCAAATCTATATGTATAGACATAATCTTTGTCACCGGTTGACATGGACTGAATCTCTCAAAGTTGCCCCACTGCCTTGTGGATTAGACCCGTATGTCAACGGTTCGAGGAGTGGTCCCCTAATGAAATCACATGATTCGGTTTGAGCATTTGAAGCTTGCCAGCCTACCTACAAATTCAATCTTCTGCGTGGCGCAAAAAAACTTAGTACCAGTCTTTAAGCAAATAAATCAATAATTACCACCATAAGGTGATCAATATTGCAGATTATTCTCTAAACAACCATTTTATCAATAACAAAACATTCAAAAAAAATTTTCCACCATACGTTCACCGTACAGGAATGAAGGTTTTTATATGTATCTATAAGACTGCCTGAAACGTTGAGTCAATTTTTTGAATATTTGATTGGAAAATGCTCTATACAGTTTGTACTAAAACAAACAGGCATACGATAGCTAGTGGGTAATCCACCTTATTCACAATGACGTATACAAAGGAGTTAAAATGACTTTCTTAACTAGAAAACATAACAGCGTGGAATAATACATTACTAGCATCGCAAAGAAATTAATATATAAGTACTGATTTTGTGGATATGCTTATGGATTTTATCAAATTATTAATGTAAAATATTAATTTTTTACACATTCACATAAAGAGAATGTACTGTTTCTAGAAAAGGCAAATGAAAAATCAACGAGAACGAGAAACTCGCAAATTATTAAAGATTGGGAGAGAAATGAAAATTTTTGGCTTTCAGTTAACGGCTAGAAAAAATAAAAACCCTTGAATCTTAATAAGACGTTATAATAACCAAAATATTGTGAACAGGAAGAAAATTCACAAAAATCATCTTGTTTAAAACGACTGGTATATATATCCCAACAGAATGTCCTAGAATTTGCGGGAAACTTCCCAGCAACAAGATTATGAGCATACTGGACTATTTTATAAAGCGTTGGGTGATCTAAGTTGTTAAGCATTATATCATCAAATTACGATAAGTGTCAAAACCATCCATCATTCATGCAACACTGAATACGCGTTTTGTTTTAGCTTATAGTAATTATTGTTCGTAACTGTGCAAGGAGAATAAACTTACATCATCCAATGGTATATCAAGAGGATGGATATGTTCCACAACTTCTGTTTCTGGTTCTTCTGGACTATATGGAATACTTTCGCGAGTAAAGTAGATTGCTTGTAGGACACAACGTTCTCGTTCTAACTGTATCTGACGTTCAATAGATTTACAACCTGGTTCGACCAAGAGAAGTCGTTCTAATGGACAAGGAGGGTGCCACTGTTATGAGGAATTAAAATAGGTAGGAAACTTATGAAATTGTATAAACCCCACTGAATAACATGTCTATAGCAGTAAAGAGAAAACGTGATCATCAAAGGATGATATAGACACTAAATTGAAACACTGAAAAAGGTGGAGAAAATTTAGGAATGTTAAGTAATACACAATAGCATTATTCGATCAGTGAAACTGAGTTTTGCATATCCTGGTCCAAATTTGTAACGATATAAACTCATTCGAAGACAACAGAAAAAAGATTGATGACTTCACTTTGATTCGATGCTAGAAAATCCGACATCCAACACCTTGAAACTGTTCTGGTATCTTGAAACATCGACGTAATGAAAGTTTAGCCAATAATCAGTTAGCCCGATTAAAGACCAAGTTCAGTTCTAAACAGATAACCGCACCAAACCACATTTCACAGCCAATGCGAACATGCAAATCCAGATATTGGGACAAAATAAACCTAAAATAAATACTACGAGGGTTCGAGCCTAATAAAACAGATCGATGTGGTTCACTACTTCGTGGATGTCTTGGCAAAACGTTCCACATACGTGGGAACATCGAGTCCAGCACTGAGTACTTTCGGTTCATCATATCCCCCATACTTGTGCACGGACTCCCATGTTAGGAACTTGAATAAATTGTACATCAGTGCGATTGTTAAACCTAACTATTCTAAGAAGGTATCAGTCACGCACAACTATAGTGGCTTCTGGCTATGTCCAGACGTATAAAAATTTCTTTTGCAGGGTCTTCAAGCAATGGAACCAAAATTTCTAAGATGGATCTGATAATTGTCAGCCGCACGCCTAGCCGTTAATGACTATTGCGATTCAACATCCCAGTGGTTACTGAGACGTACGGAATCAAAACTTGAAAATAACCCAAGAACACAAGTGAGCGTTTAGCCATATCAGATCGCGACTTTACTGATTCCGATGTCTGAAGTCGTTATCGTCAAATCAGAGAGCTTGAGTAAGTTGCACGAGAATTGCGTTCCAGTTAATTATCATCAATTTAAGCTAAGTGAATGAACTACGGCAACTGACGATTCGTAGCCAGAGCATACGCAGATCACGCAGCGAAACGGGAACATGAAACCTATTGCCCGAATACCCATCAAGATAATAGTGCTAGTAACTGAGTTTTGTTCGATTTGTGCTCTGATATGTCACATTTCAGTGTTCTGACTTTATTACAATGTTGCGGGTGCTTGGACTATAGCATCGTCGTGACAGCAAGGTTATCCAGTAAACTGGATCTTTTAATACAGACTGAAAGCAATAGATGTCTCAGAGCTATACATTGATCAGCCGAGCAGGTATTTGGAGCTTATATAACGTAGCATCTATGAAGCGCATGACCTTAATGACGAATCTAAATATTGCAGTCGTACGTACGTACCTTGTGCACAAGTGACTTATCTACATGCGTGCAAGTCTTTTTCCACTACGAGATAACTGATGCGAATCCACTCATTCCAAATATGTGATTTTAGGAATATAAAGCATCACAGAATATTGTGCTACAGCGGACTAGAAAGAAGGCAGGAGTTATGTACAAGCTGAGTCTCAAGAAATCCGTACACCCTAGTCATAAAGTTGCGTTGCAGATTTTATCAGGAGTTCAACGTGTTTGTTTGTCAAATTATAGGTTAAAATATTTCGATACTTATTAAAAGCGTAAACGACTTGCTGATCATTAGGACAAATTATAGATTAAAATGCGATCAAGAGTGAACAATAACTAATTAGTCTGTTGAGATTAAAAGCTTACGAAGTTATAGGTTAATGAAGTAATGGTTGTATGAAGTGTTAAAACTTAACAGCAAGATGTGGAAACTGATACTGTTAATCCTAGACAAGATTGTGGATATTTCGAGAATAAACCAGCCACTTTAGTCAGTTGAAAAAGTCGATCATTCAGATAAGAAAATTTATTTGACAAGAAATCACAAGTACAATAAAATTGAAATAAATCAAATATAAAAAATATTTAGTGAATATTATTAAAATCCTAAAATAAACTTAAAAAAACATTATCCACTATTTCAACATATATACACCGATAAATCTAATTATAAAAGCTCAAGATTATTGATAGCTTCAGATACATAAAGCCGTCGCACATTGGAGCTATATTGGGTTTAACTTACCTTTTGAGAATAGACATCGGTATCTTCGTGGGATCGTTTGAAAAGCTGACGTTCCATGGAATGTTCTTTGCGACGGATATCCTCAATGGACACACGATTCACATTTACTATATAAAACATGATGTATATAGCAATAAGGTTTAGAACCGAGAAAGTTCAAATCACAGACAAAACTAAGAGTACTAATACCATTTCCAATTTACCTCTCTCTGATTCGTCTAGCTCAAAGTAGTAGAAAGATTGTAACTTATCTTCATCAGCCCAGGAAACTCGCTTTTTGGGTTTATTTTCACTAGCAAAGGTCGAATACATATTGGACAGTGAGGATTTTCTGGAGCCAATCCCCTTCGGCGAGTTAGAAAATGAATCAAGTAAACTACTTTGATCCGATAGCTCCATAGAATTTTCTTCTTTGCTCTACAACCGCTAGTATATTATAAAAAAGACATACTGTATGAATTTCAGTTTGTAAAACTGGCTCCGTTTTCGGAGATATTTTTCTCTTCTTCCGGACAACAGGACAGGGAGAAGTTGTGAGAGCATTAATAAAATCCGAGCTTTCGTGAAGTTCTAAATAAAATGTATCAGTTGTTTTCTCGTAACGTTAAAAACCTTTGCGAGGTTCAGTCGGTGTAACAGTTATCTTTTGATGAAATGATTCAATTGGGAGTTCAGACGTTACATTAAGTTCATGGTCCATTTTGCTAAAAAGAAAGTTATAACACAACAGCGTCTTACGCTTTCTTAGCGATTATATCTGATCTAGATTTAGGCTGAGCTTGTGCAGGTGTATCTTCCATTCCTGCAGTTCGCATATTATTAGGTGGTATTTTAACAGTAGTTCGTCGTTTCCGCTCGTCTTTTGATGTATCAAGTGGATGGATATCTTTATTCAATGGTTTAATTTCGGTTTCCACTTTTTTCCGTTTTACATGGTTTGCTAAAAGTTTATTCAATAACACTGACCATACTTACAGACCAATTGTCGAGAATCAGAACTTATAACTTCTTTCCATTTTTTTACAATCTCAGCAGCCACTGATTTTACCTCTGTTTTTAGATTATATTACGCTTAAGGGCACATTACCATCATGATCACAACGTTTCGTCAGAGAATTTATTAGTTTGGGACACACATTCTGTGTAAGCTGCTCTAACCTCACAGGGAGTAGTAGATACACTTTTAGGAGCTCTAGCAGAAAAGCATAGTTGTCCTCTTTGAGCGCTTCTTGAAGCCACTTTAGTAGTATTTCCCATGCGCCATCTCTACATAGTTTCAATTGTATTTCCGGAGCTGATGAAGCGATGATGCATAATGAAATACACTTTGGGACAAGTTTGCGGTTTGCTGATGACATCAACTCCACCAATGAAGAGACAGAATCTTGCATAATTCCACCAGAGTCAGTCAGATGTTCACTGTAAGCCTCAAGCAATCTTGTTGGTTCTGTGACAGCCTAAAAAATGAAGAAAAATTATCTCGATGATAGATGTCAACCACAAGTCTAAGAATATATTGCCAACTTACGGAATGCTCCGAACGGGTAGCGGGTGTATGGAAAGAACATTTTACTAGCTAGCCTATGAATGCCTCACAAACCCTCGAAGCAGACTCACAACTGCTAAAGGACACGCAAGATCCGTGAAGCAATTTCACTCCGGACGTTGCACGAGTTCGGTACTCAATAAGTTGGGAGAACAAGCCATAAGAGTAGACATGATCCAGGCCGCCTTATACAACTAACCCACACCTAGAACGAATTGCCTGAACAAAAACCTTAGCGGCATATTACTGACGTATAATTACGGAACCTAAACTAACACTTGATGGCTAGTGATAGTCCTAGTCTTCAAAGGAAAATCGACACGCTGGACTGACACAAGTCCGTCGTATCTAGAGGAAATACGATCGGCGACTGCCTGCTTTGCAATTGAATAGAAATAACCACCACTCAGTGAATCTGGTGACTGCGAGAGGAATTACATAATCTATAAACGGAACAAAGATAGACTTAACATCTGATGGGTTCACGTCGAACGTTGACGACTAGGAATGCAGTATCTTACATTAATATGTACGTGCACCTCGTGGACCTGCCTCACAAACCAGCTGGCAACTACACGGAGATTCTGGATTGCGCATACGTACTAGCTGACGCCAACCTTGACAGTGCAGCAGGGCCAAACCGAGAATGAGATCACGCGAAAAATAGATGTGGTTCGTTACTTCGCATCATTCTGACTCAGTGTCTAAACACTACAAGTTATGTGTGGATCTTAGTAAGGAAATCTGACCCAACCTAATTTTTGTCAGAAGGTCTAGACCCACGGTACTACCACGTGAAGTTTAATTGCAGTTAATACACTTAGCAAGCCAGTGACTAGACCTTATAATGCAAACAATGGTAACTTAAGATAGGGTTTAGCTTCCGGTTATTTCACTGATTTCAACAAGAATAAGGCAATTCAAGACTTATATTTAAATGAACCATTTCGAGGATTAGTGCATAAAGCCCAGGTTCCCAAAAAGACGCACGAGAACTGAGATTGGTTGAGCCTTGTCGACCCGACGGGGTAGTTGTTCAACCAGGATATGTTTATTGACTTGAGGACTGTGTCAAATCCGAAGTACTAAAGATGACCTTATCTCAATCCAATATAAGGTTTTCATCTCTCAGAATTCAGCTAGTTTGCACCAACCTTCGTTCCTTAGTTTCAATATTCCAGTCAGCATAAAGAATTTTTCTTTGTTAGCTGTTGAATAATTATAAATGTTATTGAATGATTATCGGACAGTAATTGACAGATCGGTTGGTGAGTACTCATGTTGATGAAACTAATTTTCCCACTATAAGATTCACGCGTAAACTTCAGGAAAGTCATCTTGAAACCGGTCACCAATTCTGATTAATTTATTCAACACTAAATCTTACAATATAACTACTGCACCACTTTGCATAATAAAGGTTGGAACTAGACAAACCACCCGTTTACGAAAGCCCCCCACCCAAGATAGTTGCTGGTCATAAAACACATGACCTGATATTTCATGAAAATGATGTAAAGCAAAACTGAGTAGTGCTTGTAAATCAAATATAGAAAGAATGAATATCCGAAAACAGGAATACAGTTTGCTTATTATACAGCAAAAATAAAATGAAATTGGAATAGGAATTCACACAATAAATTCTCGAAGTTTAAATACGAAGTGAAACCCAGGGAAACCACTCGTCATGGACGGGATGACTCCAGCCATATTCGGTGGCGATTGTGAACACTGGGTGGAATTAAAAGCTGAAAAAAAGTTTTAGCGAGCTAAATTGATAATCAAGTTTGCATAAACTAGCGGAAAATAACCATATCATATATAAAAAAGGCACTCAAAGGACAAAACCATTATAAAGGATTGGGAAGTCAGTTAGATATACTAAACATTAGCTTTTTAGGCGGAGGAAAATCTCGCAGAATGTGATGCACTACAGCTAGCTTGGTCCGAAATATTCAACTCGATCACTGTATCAAGGATCAACCTTATCTAATTATGGCTTGGGAGATGGAGTGACCAAGTTTTAATGGATGGGTAGTTTAATACATCTATTTGCTCATTCTTGTAGTAATGAAAGCACTGATCTGAAATTTGTGTTAGTGACACCAGGTAGTTTCAGAGGTACTATGTGGCGCTATTCAGAAAACTTTTCACTTGTATCCAAGTGTCTGAAATTTTCAAAACAAGCGAGGCATAATGCCTAAAAACGTGGAGCGAACTTAGCACAGTGTATATATGAAAGCGATCACTAATGATGTAATTGAAGCTGTTGCTTATATTTAAGCAAGTTTCGTAACGAAAACTTGCATGAATGAAGACCCGTCTGAACTACTGCTAGTGCTGTTGTGACCACACTGGAATTCGAACACGAGAAGAGTTAGCGAAAATGGTCTATGGGAATCGCGAGGTAATGGTTTCCTCTACCTTCCACAGAAAAACGCATTGACGTATGCGCAAGCTAGAAAGTAACTATAGCGTGATACTTGTCAGGTGGAAATAACTAAACCATGATTGGTTCAAATAGCAAGGTACGAAATCTACACTTCATAGATTTTTCACTACTAGTAATACACGATTCAAAATGGCATCATCTGAAGTCTAGTTATTAAACTTAGGTCCAATAATTCGATTAACGGCCACGAGGTGTAAGTGTTGCGGCTAACTAGAAATCGTACTTACGCCTACTAAAACAATTTTAAGTTGTCTAGTAACTCTTACTTTTGAGAATGCGTGAAGATGTAATACACTGATATCAATCAACAAGAATATGCCACCAAATATACATTATGTAATGCTTGCGTCACACATAAATTAAATGAATGTACTCATTGTTTTGAAACACATAATTGGAAAATTCTAGATTGTCAAAAAGCAGGTCTAACAACAATTTAGATAGCATCACTCGAAGTGGTGTTTCCTTGACCGAACAAGAGCCGACTTGGAAATAGGCATCAATATCATACAAGAGGATCTCTAGGATCATCTCCATTATGGCTTCCAGATCTAAACCGACTGTTTATAAATGGATCATATTCAGATCACTTAGATTAATGAACTCACCTAATCTGCCGTAACACGTTCTAGACCTACTAGATTAACACACCTACAACTTTCATGCGGTTCCGGAAGTTAGAACTGAACTACATTGGAAATAATTGCAAAGCCTTCATTTCACATCATTAATTGAAACAAGGATTTCAGTCAATTTATGCCAATGGATAGAGACCTTGAACGACACGGCTCAATATCGTTTGCAATGGCGCAGTTGCATCCCCCTGATGTTCTTTCGAATTCTAACTCTCTGAATTCCTCAACATCTTTTTCTCTCTCTACCTTCATCCCACTGAATCTCCATCGCTGCTAATACTTCTATCTCTACCTCTATGGAATTAGAAATGAGTTGCATCTATTTGCTAATGCGGTATGGAAACCTGAACTGATGTACATACGTACGGAGTTAGGTGTTGAATCTGTTTGTCAATTTACGAGCACGATGACAATGCCAGCATCAGAAACTCAACTAATTTGTAAATTTTTAAACCACAAAAGACAGTTGATATATGGTTACTAAAGTACATCGCCATATATATAGAAACAAATACTATTAAGTAAACGGTCGAAAGGCTGTCCTTAAAACAGCTCACTACAAATCTGGTCAGTTGGCATCTCATAAATTGTCCTGTTTAGTGCAGAAACATCTCAATTTTTTACCACCTGAATCCCTATAACGCTCTTAGTTGCAATTAGCGACTTAAGCGACACTCACTAGTAAGCAACCACAGATGGATGTGTTTACAGACTTAGACAATAACTGATAGTGGTACTGATAGTCCAAGACACATGAAATCCCTCGATGGTGACATGCAAATTCCGTTGACATTTAGCTTAATCACATGTCAATCTTGTGATTACTAAGCATCATCCACCAAGCCAAGAAACCGCAACACGACCTGGATGGGGATTAAAACCAGTGACTATACTGATTTTATCTGACATCCTTAGTGGAACCAATGTCACTAAAAAAATCAACGGGCCACATACTGTTGCTGGCAAAAAAGCAGAAAGGACTCCGAGGTTTGATACAACCTAGATTACCAAATCAACGTAATACAATACATAACTACTCCACCCAAAACTGTTATCGAGATTTAATCATGACAATCCTGGCTTCTATTAGTAACTTTTGGTGAGGGGTTTCTCAAGATATGAGTAGTCCGTGTGTCATAACAGTTTAGAACCTTTACTATACACTGACTCACTGAGGCGCACTATTTACCAAAATCAACTACGAGTTTTTCGAGAAAATAGACCTCATAGGCTCCAGGAGTGATTTTAGTATAAACATCCCACTTACCCGATTCATATTACTCCTTAGCGAACCCGCGACGACAGGTCTCCACTAGAAACAGACTACAATGAAACCAAGAAAGCGGAACTGACGATTGACGTCAGTAGTATTAACTTAAACAAGAGAAAGTGATTGACAGTATCCAATATCTTAAGTGTAAGGAAACAAACTAATTTATTTTTTTGTTTCTCAGTCTTGATATATAACAACGAATCTCAATCTTTGGCCATGACAGTGCGCATATGTATCCAATATTTTGCAGCACGTTTTGAAGGCTGCCGCAAGAATAACTACGCTAACCTTCCTGTAGGACTTCTTCGATTCAGAAACCTCTGTTCTTAAAAATTTTTCGGACCCTGATGAGACTGGCCTATGTTTCTTCTGCCTTTGATTAAGAATAACTCTAGTCCGCTATACAAGTTTCTTTGCCTTGAAAGTTACTTCCCTGCACTAAAGACAAATCAACAAATTCCTTTTCCTATAAACTTCTAGGATTCTGCTATCTCATTCATTCCATCATTTTTGAAAATCGGGAGAAAGAAATAAAGCGTTCACGATAGAAGCGGCAACTGGAATGGTGAATGGATATCTAGTATAATGCGAAGAAAATTGACAGACAGTAGACACAACTACCCGTTTCTTTTTAAAATTCCAGGAGAACTGTGTGATATACGACCGAAAGAGATATGCTGCAGTTTGCTACAACTTGGTATGTAATTGCATTTGTTATTCTAGCCCATCAAACGTCAATTCAAACATGATAAGCCAGAAGCGGTCAATAACTAATACACTAACTGTTGAACAAATGTTTCACGTTTTACTTAAACCCGTCGTAACAGTATAATACAGTTTCACAGTGTATTGCTCACATCCATGTTCTTGCCCGAGTCTTTTCGAAGTTCTAGACTAAATGGGATTAGTTAAATCTACTCCAATATCCACTGGTTAAAAATAATACTTTCATTTCAGAGATTACTTCAAAATGGAATACTTTTCTATTACTTTTCTATTATAATTCACTTATGGGTTAATCCGATGTGTTTCACTCTTAACTGAAACGTCCATAAACTATGTAGGACGTTATGAAGACGTTAGGAATATATAAAACCATGATAGTGTCCAAATGGTAAACATAAGGTTACCATGTAATAATGGTAATAACAGTGGTTATAACATCAATGAACTGTGCAGTAGATGTATTATCAATCTCCTTCCAATCAAATGAGTAATTCAAATGACGCTCATTCGTACTAACTCTACCAAATCCAGGTACTTGAGGCAACTTTAGAATGCACTGTCAAAAGTGAACTTCACTCTTAATGATGATCGTATGTCTTAAGATGGACACGGAATGATTCAATTTGTTTGAGTGTATAACACAAGAGAACAGAAAAAATAAAAATAGATGATTTATTTAGGAATCAATATTTTTCTGAAAGTGGCTAATATTTTTCACATAAAGTGGTCAGCGTTTCAACGTTAGAGTTTATAATACATTAGTTGGCTCCAGCTAAGTCGTTTGCGTTGCGGCAAACCAAATCAAAGCAATATATACTCATGTCTGCGTATATAAAGAAGTGATGTGGTTACTATGTTATGATCTTGTTGAGATTCGCTAGATAACAACTGGACGGGCTCCTAGGTAAAGCAGACACGTTTTCAGTAATATCAAGACTAATATTTAAGGCGTAAGTGGTACTGAAATACAAAAATATAGAGAAAGAGGCGCAGGGCAAAACAGAAAATATTCTTGTTAATAGCTCAGTCATGTATCAGAAGATAAATTTTCAGATGCAACAAAGGTATGATTACTCAGTCCTTTCTTTTTCTGTGTTTGAATACCAAATGTACACATTCACTTTTGTGGGTTAATGAAGACAAGTCAGAGTAAGTTAACGAATGGGCAAGTAACCTTGTGAATAGAGGAGATTAAAAAAGAACTGAATTGTTAGAAATTACTCAGGTTAATAGGATATAATAATCAAGGCACAGTGATCTGATGCTTTGATGGTATTTTATTTACTATCGCTTTTTAATGCCGCAGCTCAAGAAGCCATGAGAGAGCCTTTTCTCAACCTAATCGTCCAGATATGCTCGTAATAGGATTTCTTGGTAGTTCAAGGTTACAAACGTGAATTATCGACGTGATCGACTTGTAAACGTAGCAAAATTATCATTGATTAGTTAAATCCTGCTACAACTTAAGGAGCCATAAGCAAGCAAAACATTCTGCCCCACCGTCATGATTGCTGGTCAGACACTGTTGACAGTCCTGGAAGTTTAGGCTCACTTAACTCCTCTCACTTGACCGCCAGAATTCCGTTATCGATGGCACTCCTAGATTTATACCTCATAAGTCTGAAGTAGATCATAAATTTCCCTGAGGGCTTTCTGCCATCGAAGCCTATATTTGAGTGTTGGTGAAGTCCCGCAAATATACGATGAACATATGCTCAATTCCGATGGCCACTCCTTGATTTTCTAATTCCAACTACACAAACACCCTAGAAATATAACCAGCTAAAAGCTGGATATGCCTAAATCTTGAAAAGGTTAGACACTGTACCGATTTCACTTTTACGAAAAAAAAACATTAGGTTTTTAAATGGCCACATTCATTATTATAACCATTTGTATGAGTGAACCTTTTACCGAACATTCTGTTGACTCGCTTCATTACTTGTCGATCTCCAGCTTGCTTTTGCTTCTCTGAACTTTCGGTCACCTCTCTGGCACGACTCACCAATGTTTCGATACCACAAAATCGCCAGCAAATACACTATCCAGTCTTCTTAATTTTGGTAAGTTATTTGAGATAACGCATTGAACCCTAATGTAACTGTTTTGTAGACGTGTTCACAGTCTTTCGACCCAATTATTTAAATTAGTGAGTCCGATCTGCTACACTGAATTCAAACGTGACATTATCTTTAAGGGCAATTAGTTTTACTGTAAATGTGGTCAACCGCATATAGTTTGATCAACAACGTCCAATATTCCATGCCTGACTACGCTCAACAGATAGTCATTGTGTTAATAAATGCCCTTTTCCACACTAATCAGTGGTTGCGTTTCATATGTAGCCTAGTTTTATAAATATATCTACCATACATCTACATTACCAAAGTATGCTTCAAATTTGTTTACGCTTTTACCAACACTTGTGAGGGTCATTCAGAGTATCGATCTTACTGCAATTGCATTAGCACTGGGTGTTCCTCGTACACTTTGGTCAAAGTTATCATTTACTCATCTTTCTGGGTTATTGCAAGCTTGTTAAGCCTTAGGCATCTTCTTTCTGAATGGACTAAAATTTTGTACTGCATTGTCAATGGATGTAAATATTGCACGAACCTAATCCGTCAAGGGGGAACATTAGGTCCATTACACCTCCTGATATACAAGCTGAGAAAAGATGGTTGTGGAAATAGCTCAGGGAATTCACGATAGACTATTCTTATCGTTGATGATGTCGGCTACATCCATAACTAACAAATCAAATCGTGGTTCAAGCGTTCACCATGTGATCTGGTCTCCGTGTCTGTAAACTATCTCTGTTACATGTGACCTACCAGTTGAAAGATATTATTATCCTATTATATCAATGTGACTCAGTTTCGTTCATTTCAATAAGACACGCAATATTGGTCGTTATGTTTGCTCGTTTCACTTAATAACTGTAATTTCCTTAATTATTGTACCTATCTCATTTTCGTTATATTTAGAAACAGATAAATTTTAAAGCAAGTTGTCCTTGTTCTGACTATAGCTTTCATATTGAATCTGTGCTCACCAGCATCGCATTTACGGTTCTAATAGTATATCTGTAGGACAAATAAATCCTGTAGATTACATCGCCTCCAAATATAACGAATAGCATTATATCATGGGATTACAAAGCTTTTTTCAAGCATATTCATTTGATGTTATCTTTTTGGCAGTTGATGAACTTTCTGATTAACTGTAAGGAACGTTGGCGCCTTGGTTCTGCTTACCATTGCTTTAACAGGCAAAAATGAGATTGTTTGAATTTTTGACGTCGCAGTCGTTAGAAAACAATGGATCAGATGACGTCTTCAAAGAAATGTCAAATAGGAGTGGGAAAACAATGTGTAAGCGTTGCATTAAACTTTCTTAAGGCTCTGAATGTTACTGATAGTGCCTGTTAATCTGGTAGCGATCAACCAATCGTAATTTCCATAAGTTTTAGTCTGTGTAATACCAGGAGCTGCTCAGTGTCAAAAACACGAGGTTTCTTTGATAATTAGAGGATAATGATTGTAGAATCCTTTTTGAATGTTTTGTTTTTTGGAAAATCCCTCCATGTTTACATATTTTTGTTATGACATGACGGACTCTTTCTGTTGACATTTTGGTATTTTATTTGATTCCAATTTGAGATTTTATCATTGTATATTGTTATTATTTCTATATTTTGTACTTATATTGAAGTTTTATGTTTGCTTCTGAACTGTATATATGTTGTTTAAATTTGATCTTTAATATGGCCACAGCCATATTTGGATTGATACTGTGGCGGTTGGACTTAACGTCACTTATTCCCTTTACCTTGGATACTCCTCGGAGTAATTGTGACTTGGAAAGTGCATCAACTTCAGGTATTGCTTTGTATTTCCATCTTTTAATATAATGTATTCGTTTTCTTCTAGAATTGTTGTGTTTTTTGGACATTGGACTGGGAGATACGCGTTCGGATTGCACTTACTGGAAACCATTTGAACTGCTACGGTAGAAAATTCATTTATAGTCTGAAGTTGATCCGAAGAACATTTATAATGATAAATATAATGACCTCATAAAGTAAGCAACTGAATAATATTTAACAAACTACCTTTCGCTTTCACTTATCTGTTACCTGCGTTACAAGTATCCACAAAATATGGACTCAACTTAGCTCTTATATCTTACCTTACGATAATGAACTAGTAAATCGGTAATTTTCTAGGAAAGTTCTATTGGTGCATGGATTATCTGGTAAAAAACGAACTACTTTAACTTTTCTTTTAATTTTCTGAAAATTGCTTTATTGAGGATTATGTGAGCG